CTCCCCTGCCAGCTTGCTTGCCCCTAACTGCTCTCCCCTGCTGGCCTGATCGCCCCTAACCACCCTCCCCTGCTGGCCTGGTTGCCCCTAACTGCCCTCCCTTGCAGGCCTGGTCCCTCCCAACTGCCCTTCCCTGCTGGCCATCTTGGGTGTTGGAGTGATGGTCAATTTGCATATCACCTCTTTATTAGAGAGGATAATAAAGAAATAAATAAATAAGAATCGATGGAAAAATATCGGAAGAAAAATACACACAACAACCCACAAAAAACACAGAGGAGCAACCCGACATCCGGGAGGGAGGCCACCACTGGACCGGCCTGGCCTGGCCCGGGGAGAGGGGGGTCCGAGGGGCCACGACCTACCCGGTCTTGGCGAAGTTGGTCCAGTAGGTCATGACCACGGCGCTCAGCATTACGTCATTCTTGGAGAAGTTGCAGCTGAAGAGCTCCGTGGGGCCGATCATGGGGATCCCGAAGACGTAGGGGACCTCGTCCCCGTGGGCCGCGTCCGCCCAGCCCGGCTTCATCTCGCTCTGGCAGTGGTGGTAGAAGGCGTAGAAGTAGGTGGGGGACCCGTACTGGGCGTGCAGGTCGGCCGTGGCCACGGCGGGGGCCACCCACTGGTGGTCGGTGAACAGGGCCACCAGCGTCTTACGCCTGGTCTCGGGGTTCTCCTTGTCCGCCCAGTCCGTGTACATGAATTTGATGGTCTCCCGTAGCGTGTCCTTGCCTTCGGGGTAGCCGTAGAGGTTGTCCACGAAGTTGGACACGGAGAAGTCGAAGTCGTTGGGCGTGACCCCGTCCTCGTTGTCCACGATGCCGTCCACGAACTTGAGGCCCTCGCCCTGGTTGACGCCCAGCATGATGTCGTAGTTGAGGAACTCGCCCTGCTCCATGAGGATCTGGGGGTCGTCCGGGATGACGTCGCCGTCGATGACGGGCCCGAAGGAGATGTGGTAGGTGGCGGGCGTGATGGTCTGCTGGATCAGCTCCCGGTGGCTCTTGCCCCGGAGGCACTCCACCAGGTCCGTCGTGTCCAGCATGTTGCAGCCCACCTTGTCCGCCAGGATGCGCGTGTACTTGGCCGGCTGGTAGTTGACGGCCCAGCTGGACAGGGCGGTCCCGCTCTGGATAATGGCTTTCTGGAACAGGCCTGTGGGGCGGGGGGAGGGGGGGGAACGCCAAGGAGAGAAAAGGAAGGAGTCACCCCAAAGACAGAGACGCCGCTGGAGTCGGGGGGCCGGGAGGGAGGAACGCAGGCAGCTGGTTTCCTCGATTCCATCCCCTGATCCCCACAACCATCTCCATCTGGACATGGATTTTAAGGGGTGTTCTTATTCTTACACAAACACACACACACACACACACACACGCACGCACACATGCACCCCACAAATATTGTTTAAGAAAATGGGACGATTCCTAGCTGGTTTGGCTCAGGGGTTGAGCATCCACCTAGGAACCAGGAGGTTCTGGGTTCGATTCCCGGTCAAGGGCACAGGCCCGGGTTGCGGGCTCGATCCCCAGTGGGGGGCGTGCAGGAGGCGGCCGGACATGATTCTCTCTCATCATGGATGTTTCTAACTCAATTTGTCTCCCTTCCATAGATTAGATATATATAGATATATAGATATAGATGTAGATAGATATATAGATATAGATATAGATATATATAGATATAGATATAGATATATAGATATATAGATATATATATGAAATGACATGAGCAATGTAGCTGCACTGATAAAATTATGAATTCTCTTTCTTATTCCTTTTTAAAATATATATATTTCTATTGATTTCAGAGAGGAAAGGAGAGAGAGAGAAACATCCATGATGAGACAGAATCATGGATCGGCTGCCTCCTGCACGCCCCCTACTGGCGATCGAGCCCCCCACCTAGGGCTG